CACAGCCACTTCATGCCAGCGTGAGAGTCCGCCCCTTTACACTACACCACAGCCACTTCATGCCAGCGTGAGAGTCCGCCCCTTACACTACACCACAGCCACTTCATGCCAGCGTGAGAGTCCGCCCCTTACACTACACCACAGCCACTTCATGCCACGTAGCTTAACGAAAGCCAATACGAATAAGAGAAGCTGTATTTGGTCTCGAAAAACAAGATTTTTCTTTGACATTTTATGTCATTTGAAGAATGTTATTATTAAACTACGTGACATTGATATTTGCTGCTGTTTGATAGCAAAGGTACAATTAATTAATTATTAATATAATATTCTCCTTATTTAGGCCTACTACACTTACCATTTGAAAACTATACGGCAGTTTTAAGATTTTGTCGTGTTATACTAATATTGTACAATAGATGTATGTACAGGATTGTGTCATCTGGGTTCAAATCTGGTTTATTACTTTACTACTACAGTAATACTTTAAAGGAGAAATGCCTATTTTATCTGCCCCCTTCTGTACCACATTTCAACTCAATCAGTTCAGTAGTTTGTGCTTGTGAGATCAACAAGAAAATACACAAACTCACAAACTTTAAGATTTATAATATTATAAGAAGTGTTTGAGAGTCCAGTTAGATAATCCAAATGTGGCAACAATTCCATATAATAATTCCAGTTATTGTCAAAAACTCATTTATACATGAGCATAAATGGAAAATTATTATTCCATATATGAGTAATAATTCAATACCTGGGAGTCATATATGGCCATATATAATATACAATAATTCCATATATGGAAGATATTTATGGCCATATATGGGCAATAATTTCATATATAGAAAACATGCATGGCCATATATGGACAAGAATTTCATATATAGAAAACATGTATGGCCATATATGGACAATAATTTCATATATAGGATACATATATGGCAAATAATTCCATATATAGGCTACATACATGGCCATATATGGACACCACCATATATGGATGCAACCACATCTGGCCATATATGCTTCCATATATGGTCATCAAAAACCATATATGGCTTTATAAAAACATATATAGAATTTTGATGTGATAAGGGGTACCAGAGGCTTAATGTTTATACTATCTACCAGTCAACCAAGATCTAACTAAATAGGGAACAGTCTTTGCTCATCCAAAACCCGGTGTTAACAATATTTGTAAAACTATACAAATATCAAAATAAAAATCTTAAATGTTCATATTACCCCAGTGTTGCTGAAAGTTAAATCTCTGTAGTCAAAAGTATTTACACAGATGCTTTTTACTACGTTGTTTTATTTTCAGATATAAACTTTTGTATACCTGGATTGCCGGGACCTGCAGGATTACCAGGATTTCCTGGACTTCACAGAGTTAAAGGAGAAAAAGGAGAAAGAGGATTTGATGGATCCCCTGGGCATGTTACCTACATCAAGGGAGAGCCGGGCGACCCTGGAGAGCCGGGTACTTGTGACGCACGATGAGATTATCAATGTACTTTCTCTCACTCGAATATTATAAACTTGAATTTTTACTAGTTTGCTTTTCCCTGTAGATGACCCCGGATCATCCTTGTCTCTAACAAGTGGTACTAGACATATTGAACACATTACAACAGGCACTTAAAACTAATGAAATGTGTTAATTGAACTCAACTTGATTTGCGATTGAATAGTATGCCACGACTGTGTATTGATGAAGTAATATCACATTTTTGTTTATTACCAATGGCTATTTCATAAGGAGAAATATTACAAATTTACTATTCATCGGGATTTTTAGAGCAGTTTTTTCTTATTTTAACACAAGCTTTTATGTAAAAATATAAAATAAATTGATAACAAAAATTGAAAGAAACTTAAATTAATGTATTTTTACATGAACCATTTTAGTGGACAGAAAAGCTCTAATTTTGTATACATAATGAACAGTCAGTCAGAAATAAAAACTATCGCTAAAACACTAATGTTAGGAGTGGTGTCAAATCGAGCTACGTTTATAACGTATATAGCTTTAAAGGCCCCGGGTACGATACGAGCGGCGAGCGACAAGCGGTAAGCGGCGCCGCTCTGACATGGGGTCTTATTCAGTTGCGTGTAAATTTGTTGACAGTGGTCACGATACGTCTGAGCGGCGAGCGGCGTTAAGCGGCACCGCTCATGGTTCCAAGTCAAAACCGATTTTCGCGAAAACGCCGCTCATGCTTCAGTTTGGCCTAAAATGACAGGGAAACAGCAGCAAACACGCGATACGGGTCGATACTTGAGGTGCAGTCCAGGGAATGGTTGTGGAATGACCAGCACGGAAGTTTCAAAACACTTCAGTCACCAGAAAAGTATGGGACAAAGTTAGGGTTAAGGTTTTTCTAAAAACTAAGTTTTTCTTTAAATGCAAACAATTGTCAGATAGCAACAATAGTTGCAATACGTCTTGCAGGTAAGCATAGGTTACCATTTTCGACTAATCTGACTAATAAAACTGGGGAAATTTGACGAGCGTTATAAATGTGCCGCTTGTATCGTAGCCACCGCCGCCGCTTACGTGCCGCTCAGGTTACCGCTCGCCGCTTGCCGCTCGTATCGTACCCGAGGCCTAAAAATGTAAGTTCCTTCTAATTCAATTTAGTCATTTTTAGAGATATACTCAGAAATTTAGCATAATGACATAAAAATTTTGCAGATAAGCTGTTAAAATTAAAAAAAACTGAAAAAACACTTGTATATCGTATAGTTTCCAAATAAACATAAGATTATACGCTAGAGTGAAATAATAATACAATAATGTTATTTATAATGTTTATTTATTGAAATTATTAAGTTGTTAGTACTTACATTCTTTTAGCAAGATTGTCAGTTGAAGAATGAAATCGTAGTGTAGTATTCTCAAAATAAACAGAAAGAATTCCTTTATGTGGTCTGTTTTGACATCTGACGCGACGCAGGAAGGTTGACTATAGATACACTACATTGACTCGTTCTAATTAGTACACATTGCATTTCCGCTTTAATCTATAGCTAGTTGGTTGTATAGCATAAAGGACTTATGTGAGCTCAGCCACTGACAGTGTGAAATAATGATTAGATTTGTATAAGCTATCATGGATTTATAAACTATCATAAAATATATTCCCCCCACAGCAAACCTGCAGACTAGGCGAATGTACATTTGAATGATTAAATGCTCATTAGAATATTTCTTTCAAAGCTGCAAACTTATTCCCTATTTAAATGGCATTAGGTGTTATGGCATTAGTGAGTACTTAAGTTTTCTGCAGCAGGGAAGTTTATAAAGATTATTATTATTGAAATGTTCCTTGCTACGTATGAAAAGAATATATTTGTCATATTTGATCAAAATAAAAGTAAACAACTGCAAATATTGAATTATTCTCCATAAAAATAGCGTAGAAATTTAAAATTTACAGTGTCGTTTTGAGTTTTCTTCACAGCCATTAAAAGTTCAACAACACTTAATATACTAAATTATTTGTTTTTTAGGTCTAAAAAGTTGTTTGGGACGAAATTACAAAAGTTTATGTTTGAGCGGCAAACATGGTGAAACCAATATTTACCCTTTAAAGCCCTACATTAAGAGTCCTTCCTAGCTGCCATCTTGGATTATTTAGCTGCTGAAGAGTTATTTATTGTCCAACAATAGTTTTTCAAACACCAGAGTGAATATAATTTATATATATATAGTAAACTGTAGGTTTAGAAATGTTCTTTGGAGTTAAGCATTGTCCTCCAAGGGAATCCATGGAATTGTACGGCCATCTTGGATTTGCCCGCCAAAAGAGCAATGTTAATTTCATTAATTTCAAACAGGTGCTTAAGAGTTATGCAACATCTCAAAACATTTGTTCAAATACCGAAGTAATTTAAATTTAAATATCTAGTATACTGTGACATTATACATTTTCATTGTAGTTTTTTTTATATTTTTACAAGTTAGAACGTCTAGGCTCAAACGACTCTTTTAAGACTCTCAAAAAACTATTACAACTAAACATATTTTTAGTTGTACATTTAGTTGTAGGCCCCATGGTCTGATCGTGCTGGTTTGTGAACTCGTAAGAATAAACGTAGGTTTACACGTTTATACAACTAAGCTAGGGATTCTGCTTTGCTACGGGGTGAGATTACAGAAGAGGTTTTTTTAATCTACCATAAGAAACTGTTACAACACGTTTATTAGGGATTATCAAGTACTGTAATTGGAATGGGTACGCCATCTATGTACGTATTATCCAAACCAAATGTGAGTGAAAAATGCGTGTAGAATGGTGCGAGATGATATTTTGAAGCTTTTTACTCACTTAGATCGGCCGTTTCATTAGCCAAGATCATTTATTTAATGCCCAGAACCATCAAAAACTAATAACTTTTCTCAGGATCGAACCGGCGACCTTTGATTTGTGAGGCGAGCACTATAACCAGCATGAAAGCTCAATCGTACTTATTGCTTATTTGAATAAAGATCTCTTATTTTAAAAGCTGATGATGTGTTGTAGAAACAAAACTAATACATTTTTGGTTATACCTATAAAATCTGGGAGGATAAAAAGTTTAACTAAGGGCAAATGTAAGCAAAAAATTAAAATTAAATCAACTGTAAAACTTGATTTTAATTTAATATTTTAAATATGATTCAATATTAGCTTCTGGGGACATAAAAATGAAAATGTAAATTGGTCCCTGTGAGTAGTGGTCTCCATGATACCTATGGTAAGCTAGCTATACCATGCTATACCAAGCAAGCTGGTATGGTATGATGGTTGTAGCTGGTTTCTTATATGGATATCTAAAACAGAGAATAAACTTAAATTGTCGCACTTTCTCGTTTAATTTCACGCACTTCTAAATTGACTTTTTAAGAACCACGAAATAATAAAATTAATATATAAACTGAGACTGCCAATTTGCTTTACCTGCATGGCTAGAATCTTGCAAAATGAATGAGATGAAATAAAATGACACAATTTAAAAAATACTAGTTTTTATTATTTAAATAGGTACTATACATATTGCTAAAAAAAACTAATTTGTCTATAACTCCTGTACGGTTAAATATAATAATTCCGTCAGTTTTTAAATAAATAAAACTCTATCTAACATATTTATTTGTACAAACAAATCACAGCTTATTTCGAATATCACATATATTTACTATTTTTTTCAAAGTTCATGTTAGAATACTATAAATGAGTATTATCGTTGTCCAACGTTTAGAAGTTGCATCTTTCAAGCAGCCTCTTTTCCTGCAACAAATAATAAATGTTGAGGTAACTATTGTAAAATAAACATGTTTACACTTATAAGTATCGCGTACCTTAAAACCATGTTTCATTTTTACTACTAATATCACCATTTTCATTAAAACTGGGAAATATTTTGATCATCGTGCTATTGTAGAATAGAACACCGTTGTAATGTTAGCGGGCAGAGGATATTGATACAAATGTAATGAATACTATAACCAGTTTATGTTTGATATTGACCTGAGTTACTCTGTAATTGTACTGAGTGACGCACGGTAGTAAAAACATTTTTATTTATTTATTTATGACCTGTTTTATAAAATACCCTAGGAATAACATATGCAGAGAAATACTCCAGAACTCATCCTTTAGATGACAAGTCCTTTTGTAAACAGAAAAGTAGATTACTTAAATACAGCAAATCGCAACAGGAAAACGAAAAACATAGATGAGTTATCAAATATTTATTTTTATTTATCAGTTTGTGCTCTCCTATTTAGTAAACATCATAGTGTGCTACATGGGATTGATTGATTGAACAAAATTAAATTAAAATTATGCTTGAGGTTTTAAATAATTGTGATGCGTTTTCAAAATAAATCTCTCCTGAATTGTGGAGGAACGTTCAAAAGATTTTCGGTTTTCTTCAGTAGGCATATACTTTAAGCTCCGAATCAAACTTTTTGGATTTTATTATAATTTAATTATTACCATAATACATTCTATACCCATACTATTTAATTATTTTTGTTTAACAATTACTAATAAGGTTTATTATAATTATTTTTAATATTATTAAGTATTCAAACAACTATTTAATATATTATTTTAAACTATTTAAACAACTAGGCAGTAGTGTCGTGGGTTCGGATCCTGGTCACTGCCACTAACTTTTATTAGCACAGTTCACCTTTGTACTGTACCGGCTCACCCCTTGCTTTGCTGGATACGTTCCACGCACAGATCTGTAGTCTATGTGGACGGGCAAATGCAAGGTAAAAAGAGGCCACCAACCTCTTTTTAAAGAAATAAAAACTAACAGTCAAAATGTAATAAACAAAAGTTAAAAGTACCAGATTTATATTGATTACAAATATTTCCGATCCAAGCAAAGAAATTAGCCATTATTTTTACCCTGCAAATGAAAAAAGTAAAACAATCTACATAACTCTCACAAGTGTGATATCGCAGATTGCTTTAAGGAATCTACCTTCACAAAGACAGCAACGTATAGCGCAGCATAGTAAATAAAACTAAATACTAATAAATAAAGCAATCATTGCAAAATTGATATAAATTACAACTTAAACTTAATTATGAAGCTCAGTATCAAACTACTCCAATTCAGACCTCAGAATTGTTTCAAAATACTCACTACAGTTTTGATGCATCTTCGTGGTGGCGATCTTCAGCGTAAGGGCAGATTTTGGTCTGAAAATATGAAAGCTAGCGTAAGCATTGGTTCACATCCTTTCTCTTCAAAATAGAGTATTTCCCGGGGTTTCGTTACAGGGAAGGAAAACTCAAAGAGGCTACGTCAACAGCTATGCATAGGGAGTTGAAAGGAACTATTGCAAATTAATTTTCCACAGTTTGTAACGAAGCATTGAAATAAATTTAAGGGTCTCTAAAGATGGTTTTGCACCTTTTCCAATGTTTAATACAGCCAGAGTTGTTGATTTATAAGGATGACAAACATGTTACCAGATTTAACATGGTTAAACAATTTAAATAGGAACTTTTAAATTTTGGCCCAAAATCCGTCTACGAATTTTGAAAATGTGTAGTATCTAAGCATACAACTTTTCTATATCATACATAAAACGCTGTTCAAAATTATCTATTAAAACTATCGCCTCTATCAATATTGAAAACTCTTGGGGACTTTAGGATCGCTTTATATCTTCTGAATTCCATTTAACTTTTAAATTGCCTGTGAGATAAAATGTGTTGGGCTTAGGTAATCATATAAGTAATACCATATAGCCGGGAACTTCTTGGCCAAGGAAACTATGAGTTATAAAACTCATAGGATTTACTGTATGATAGTTATATCGTGTATGAAGGGACCAAACAAGTCGTTAAACCTCTGAATACATTGCTTCTGAAATATCAACGGTTTGTTCTTTAAATGGGATGTGGGTTATGCCTGGATTGAAAAAGGAGACGTTTTAGAAATGTTTTAGGAAGATGGATCAGTATTGAAACAGTAACAATCTATTGACATGCAAGACATGCAAACAAATTTGCTTTAGATAATTTATTAGAGCAGAGTAACCGTAGTTTAATCTAGTTGTTGGGCTTCAAGGCACCACAAACAATAGGGGTGTCTTGTGTTTCTTAATTTAGGTAGGATGTGGCATCAGTTCATTGTTAGCATCTAAAAAAAATCTAAATATAATTATTGAGATTTGGTTTATTTGGAATCACGAGTCACATGTCACTGTTAATTCTGGCTTTGTTCTTAAGTTCATTAATAACGGGTTTGTTTTGCCTTAGTTACAACAATTAAAACAAATAAAAATAAGAAAAAAGAAGGAAAATAAATAATAGAAATAAAACGCAATGGTAGTAAATATGTTTTTTTCACTTCTCTTAAAACTGTACTATAAACTGTACTATTACTATGAATTTCATACCAATGTAGCTTGTTTACATTTATAAATGTTATCATTTTTAAGCTTATTATCCAACGGAGTGACGAATGGGGACAGAAAGGTAAATGTCCTTTAGGTCTTCGCCCCCCTGGAGTTTGAATTATTTCTAGCGTTTGCTTTCATTGATCCAGTGAAACTGATAAACTTTCTTTATAAAGGTTTAATGTTAATTGATTCTATAATCAAAGTTAATTTGTAAACAAGAGGCAAAACAGTTTATGAACAAGGATCTTAAATCAATTACTATTTTTATAATTTTAACATATTTAAGGTAAGTAAATCACTCTTGTTGAAGATCTTGAACTTAAACATTATTTTAATAAATTGTTTGTTATTCACCTAAAAACAAAAGCTGAAAAGTACAGGGTATTTTTTTATAGTGATCTGATAATTGCGTTTAAGATATATCGATCCATTTCGCAATCTTCACTTACACATGTTTAAAATTTATCGATGTACAAATGAGCCAGGTTTAGAGAAGTACAATAGTAAAAATTTTATGTTTACCAACAATTAAATTACCCCTTAAATAGTAATTTTTAATCCGTATCAGTAAACGGTTAAATATTAAAATCAACTGAGTTTTAATAATAACTGTTCATTAAAAACTTTGTTTGTTATCCTTTAACGTTAGGCCATAGAGTTAGCGTTTGGACCTGTTACCTTGGAAAAGTCCTTTAAAATAAAAAACAGAAAACCTACCCAGGTTTCCTGAACCTTTTTAAATAAGTTCTGGATCCTGTAGGCCGCAGGATTCCCTTGCACTTCTTCGTCAGCTTCGGTCATAGGCGCACTCATCACTACATCCAACATGAGCACAACTATCAGCAAACAGAACATCAGCACTCGCGAGGCCATGGTAAATTGTGAGTCCGGCAGCAGTGTTACAGACGAATATAACCTCTATCTCACTGACCTTGGAACTCTGATAGCGGGTACAAGGGGCGCAGTTTTTGGCTTGTGTATTGTTTACAATGTTTATTAGTAACAAAAACCATTATTACGTCACCCAATGTATCAAGTGATAGTTATGCTATCGATAATAATATTAGACACATCTCACGCATTTTGCATCGTCTACTTAGATAAAGGAATCTGGCTAGATAGGCTTACTATTAAACTGAAATCATAGCTTAATAGTTTGTTGTGTTATTTCAAACGGTTTTAGGTCAAATTGGAAGATATTTTAAATCTTGTAATGTGGCGAGTGGATGATGTTTTGTGCTTTTATTGTCATTTATACAGACTGAGACTGTAATCCAGCTGCAGTACTAGGAGGTCACGAATTTTGGATATTTATAGGCATGCACTGTGGATGCGATACTCCCTGGTGACCCTGAACTGACGCAACGTGACGAAGAAAAAATAAAACTTACACTGTAAAGGATATACCACCCCTTGAAGTTAGATCGTCTCTTCCCAACAAACAGATATTTTTTTATAAAATCATAGATTAATCTGCATTACACTGATGAAATCACGGAAGTGTTTAGCTACAAAAGATCCACCAATACAATTTTAATACTATTTAAAGGTTCTTCCAAAGGAAGAGATACAAAATAATATACTAATAATTCCAATGACGTACAGAATGGGAAATATTTTATTCATTGAATGATCGACCATATTTGGTAACTATCGCAATTAATATCATTATTGTTTTTACACGTAATAACCTTTAAACAATGCTAAATGCTCAAAATATGTATAGTTTCACTCAATTTATCGCAGTTAGATGAATTGGCGTAAATCTAGAAAGTAACCGTCGATTTCGACGGGTTTCACCTAGTTATGATAATTAGACCAATTTGTTAATACCAAGGAAAAAATGTGGATCGGATTCCACTATAAGCTGCAGGCCCCTTAGTTACCATTAGCTGTATGCGCTATTAATTAACAGCTTTGTCTGAGGAATATGTCGGCCTTAAGACACTAAGACGACTACAAGATCGCGTCACTCATTATTAAACTCATCTCCATTCATACTTGGCTTAAAATACTTAGTATGGTTGCCGTTTCAATGAAAAGTATTAAAAAGTATCAAGATATCAAAAAATAAACTTTCAGGATGTAAACTTGTTATTGGTTGCTGATTTCCTACATTACTATACTTTAACAGTCGTTTACAATGTGCCTAAAAAGGTATAAAACTATATAAACAAATTTAAATATAATTATGAAAATACATTTATTGTCAATCACATTTAGATTTTGAATGTTCACCAAAAACTTGAGAACTCAAAAGGCGTTTTAGGAGAAAAGAGAATTTCTAGGTGTAAAATAGTATCTAATGTTAATTTATATTAATTTAATAATTGATATTAATATCAAAAGGTAATTTTCTTTTAGGGGTGCCCCTTCACCTTTATTTGTTTCTAGAGTCCATTTTCAAAGATCCAGTTGCTGAACAACTTTCATCATAACTGTTTATAAATTAATTATGGTTTACAGCTGTTCCTTTGGTTTAATGTTAACCACAGTCAGATTGGAAACAAGACACTACATAGTTGATGCAAATGTATTTCAACAAGGCTCCTTTTTAATACCTGATTTAGGGTGGTAAATCTTTCCGTATAGTTTGGATCTAAAATCATGGTATTCATTGTGGGTTCGTAGTTCTATTCATCTAATAACTAGTTTAAACAAATATAATGTTAAAAATGTAAAATTTAAAATTGAAAACATGTAAAAATGTAAATGTAATCAGTTTTGGACCCTCTTAAACCGCAAATTTTGTGCACCTACTAAAAAATATTTCTTTAAATATAAAGTAACATAGCTGCATAAATTTACTTTATACTATGCCATTTTTATATACAGGGTGTTTTTTTTTAACTGCATATTCTATCTATTGTGGTTTTTATATAAATAAAGATGCAAGTTTTTAAAAAAACACCCTGTATATTACTTCCTTTAATATTCTACATTAAACGTTGGTTGGGATATAAAATCACCAAAATGGGATGGAATGATTTTTTATGCAATGTTATTTCAAATGTAGCGTTTAGAAATGAGGTTTTGTGCTCAAACAACTAAACAATTGTTTTATGTTTACTTTTAAATCAATCTTAGTACCCAATTAGTCCTTGAACTCTTACAGTATATCTAATCCGCCGTGAACCACATCGAACTAGTTTATAAAGTACTACAACGAAAACCCAATTTATATATTATTATTTCCAATAATAGGTTTATATTGTGATACTATGATAGTGATGTTAGTTTTGGGCATATTTGGATGAATATTGATGAATAAAATATGGTGAGGATAGTCTAACTGAATGTCACTCAGTGACACGACAAAATATTATGCATAATTCAAATACGAATATTATACAATCCTCGCTTTAACATCCAGTCAATGTAAATAATATTTAATTACAAATATTTTAGAAGTTTTCCCTCTGAATGTCTGTAAATTCACTTGTACCTTTAATAGCATTAAAAAAATTAACTTGCATTTTATAAATACACAACATACACATTTTACGTTATGAAGATGGTCATTGTATACCATATGTAAGTGTGTAATGCATTGCTAGCAATCAGACAAATGCAAAGACTCTAATAAGGTAAAATAATTACTGAGAAAGTTTTAAGTTTCCAAAATTATGTACGTTTCCACTAGAGAAAGTTTTTGGTATTATTTTTAGTTTTTATTCACAGATGAGTTTTTGCCTTTACAATTTGTATTGGGTTTCCAACAAATCGACGAAATGCAATTCTACAAAAACAGAATTCAACGTATAATTATAGTACTTACACTCTACTGAGTAGTCATCTGAAGACTTCATTCAAAATTCGTCAATTCATAATTAATGATTGCCGATTAATGTGTCTAAGGTTATGAAAACAAAATAGTAAGATTAAAAATAAATAATAAAAACACTGTTGCACAAAATTAAGAAATATGAAGAATAGTTTCTCATGTGTTAAACAAGGTTTTTCTTTATATCTTTATCAGCTTAGAGAGAAGATGTGTATACAGTATAGGAGAATCATCCAAAGTTTTATAATAAACCGGAAACAATGTTTTTCATATTGCACCATTTTTAATTAACTAATTCGCAGAACATAGATATGGATTATTTTTGGCATCACAAATCTCTCAAAATATTTTCCACCTTATTTAGTCTCTAGGCTTATAAACATACAGTTGCCGGGGTAGTCAACCCCTTGGTCAGTTGCGATTGTGTTTTCCGGCGTTACTCATATTGTTAATTTAGAACAAACCAATCACAATAAAAGTTCCGACAGCAATGAACTGCAGTCAATAATAGCCGTGTACAACTAATCTCAATCAGTTCACATTGTTTACAAGTAAGACAAATGTGCAGCTAACATCCTTCACCCCAGAACACTTGGAGTCAATACTAGACTACATAACTTACAATTGCAATTCGGCTTTTCAGTTAAAGTTGTCTAATTCTGATTTATCTTGCCACCAGCTCAAATCTCTGGTTTCAACTCACATTTTTTATAAACGTTTTACATACACATGGCAAATTCGGCTTTTCCTTTCAGCTAGTTGCAATTTTATTGACAACCCGAAATTAATGTACAGTTGGCTTTAGCTGCTAACGCATTGAATAGAAAAGGCCAGTTTCCCTACATTATGATGAAAACAGTTTTCAAGACTTGTAACGTGAAAAATGTGAGGAAACCAAATATTTCAGTCGGGATTTGCCATAACTTGTGGTGTTACGTAGAGCAAGATGTAGCATCATGTAATCCCGCTGGAGACAACCCCCCTCTCATCAACAACCCCCCCCCCCTCCAACCATCCTTTCCACCTTTCAACCTTACACAACACATATATTCTTATTTATCACCTGAACCCTGTCTTTCTTCGTTCTCACATAATGTAATAGTTAACTGAAGCTAGGACGTAATAAACTAATTCTAGAAAATCCTGCGCTTCTAGTCTCTTCAAAACTATAACTCATACCTTATCTAAAAACTGTATACTTGTTTTATTCTATTTAACAGCTTTATCCATGTGTATGGATTTTTTTAAGATTGAAAATGGTTATATTTTAATATAGGCCTAAAAATTATAATTTCATTTTCCTTGTTTAGGTCAAATTTTACTTTGTAGTTTAATTTAGAGTGATTTATCAAACCGCTTGTTGGACCTCTACCTCCAGATTCATTGGACTTATTCGCTACAAATAAAATACATAACATCATAAAAAGATAAATTCGTTGTTTTAATTAGCTAATAGTTAACTATGCTGTAAAATAAATAGCTATAATATATCCATGACATCAAGCCACTTTTATATCATTCACTTAAAATGAGGATAGTTTACAATTTCAGGATAGCTTACATTTACCATAAATAGAAAATCGCATAATATTTACATTTAACATAGGTTTTAAGCTAATATACCACAACATTCGATAGCATTCGATAGCTGTTTAACAAATTATTATACTTATGTCCATACAGGTAGATTTTTTATGGTTTCTATTGCTTCACAATTTGTGTCAATAAAAAATTCTATTTTCCATATCACAGTGTTTTAATCAGGCCAATGCGTTTAAATAACATCCCTCCCGCAGCAAACCTGTTGACTAAGCGAATTTCCATTTGCATCATTAAATTTCCACTTAAATCTACCTATTTAAATTCTAAAATTGATCAAAATATATCCATAAACAATCAAACTCAAAGGTGTAATGCAGACATTTTCCATCACAATGGTAAAAAAATACACAAGTAACTACCACCACCAACCCCGAACATCAAGCAAAGAAACTATAACTATTTACTTATTCTTTGTAAAAATAACTTAGGAATTTTAAATTTACAATTATGTGATTTTTCTCGGTAACTAAAGCCGTACAAAAATACTTGTACTAAATT